AGAGAGAGCACAGTGAGACGTCTGTCACTTTACTTACTCACTTAAGAATAAGTACTGAAACTTGAGCTAAAGGAACATTCTCAAGGTGTTTTAGTCAGTCCCTCAGCTGGATCGGATTTACTTAAACTTTCTCTAACCTGTTCTGAGAAACAGCCAAGGCGAACAGTACCCATCTCCTTCCACTTACAGAAACCTCAGGTTATTGGTAGGCAAATTTATGGTCTCATAAAAGTTGATATACATCCAAATGGCAGTTTGTTAGCTCAGAAATATTTTCCTAAATTGCTTTCCTCAAGTCTGCCTTGTTAATATGAAGTCCAAGGCACGATCAATCATTCCCATCCCATCATATTGACCATTTGAGAATGATTACTGAAATTTGAGTTGAAAGAGCCTTCGGAAATGATCCAGTTGTATGCAAACATTTCAGATTTTCACCCTTTTTTTTTTTTTTTTTTAAGGAAGGCAGATTCATATGAATTGTACAAAAAGAAGCCAATTTTTCTTGCATATAGCATGAGTAGATACTTCAGACACCACAAGGATAACGGTACTTTTAAAGAGGTATTATTTCTGCCAGCGTTTTACAAAAGCACCCCAAATTTGACATTAACATGTTAGGAAGGAAAATGCAAGGGTGATGGAGATTACTACATTTTCAAGACAGACAGTAGAGTGGCAAACTGTTGAGCTGCTGGCCAAAGTATCTAGTACAGAAAATGAATAATTTTCACATTCATGTTTTGATAGCTGACAGCACTTTTCTCTGCCTGAGGTGAGGAAATACATATGCCACGTGATCCTCTGTGAATCAAGTAAGCACTCCTGGTATTTCAAACCAAGCCTGTCTCAATGAGATGACATACAGTGACCCACTGCTCAGTCTTTAATAATAAACTCCGGTGTTTAAAGGCTGTGTGAAAAGTGACAGGGATTTCCAAGGGTTGAAGGTCTCTTTTTCTGACAGTGCAAAACTGTCAGGCTCTAGCTGAGGGCAGAACAATAGGAATACCATTTCTTGACCATATGTTTTAGAAAATAGATTCTGTGCAACATGTTAAGGAGAGCCCACATTATAATGACAAGAAATGCAGAAGGACTTTCACAGATACGTTTGAAACAGCTGACAGCTACTGAAGTGATCTTAAAATCAACATTTCAATTATGGCTGGAAGTTTAAAATGATGGTAACAGCTTTTCAGTAAAATTGAGCTCTCAGGAGAGTGATTTCTTTGGGGTTTAGATCATTCTGTGCATTATAAATCACTCTTCCACAGAACTGTGCACATAGGATAAGCCCTTCTAGTAAATCTCCCCCTTAATTATTGCAGGTCACCACTAGGAATAATGTGGCATTTGAAGGTATAATGCATATGGTGTTTTGGTGACCTGAGTTATGTAATTCTAAACTTGGCTGTGTGGGGAGGAATATGCAGCAACATCAGTTTATTCCTTGAAGTATACATTTTGAAATGTTTGTACATAGCTTTTTAATCAGCTCCCTCTATTTCAAGAGAATGTCCATCAAATCTGAAAGGCCAGGACTTGTTTTCCACAAGCCTCATTCAGCCAAGATCATTGTGCACCACAGATCCCCCAGATGTTAAGTTTTGCAAGGACTGTTTACCACGGAATAAAATCTCTCCCCCATGGCAATAAATGATCAAATGCAAATGCATTTATCTCTCTTGGTGCCTCTGGTTTTATAGGAGCAGAGATGGGTTCTTCAGGTGAAAGGGCGACGGCTGACACTTGAAGAAATACTTGGTCACTTAACTGCTTTCTGTCCTTCAGTGTAAGACTATGCTTTTGTCATTTAAAGGGTTCTCTTTCTTCAAAGGCAGGCTAAAGGTGGCAGCTTGCTTTCTCTGGATGTAAACCTTAAATCCGAGTGTCATGGTAGATTGATTTGTCTGAGATGGCAGAGAGAATTTATACCCAATGGTTAAAACCTGCTTGCTGCCTTCTTTCCTCTCATAGACACAAGGAAATAGCTTTTTTTTCAGATACAGCCTGGTAACTCCACAGGAAAATACCTGAATATTTTCAAACACTTCACACTGGCATTTCTTGTGGTTGTCAGAGGTTAAAGAATGGACTCAAGACCAGTTAGTGACTGTCTGTAGCTATGATACTCCTGTTGCTGAATTATTTTTTTTTCTCTTGTGAGGCCTGCAAGTGCCTTTGATTAAGGAGATGAGTGACTTTGCCTGTTGTATTGATCAGAATAAATTACCAGTAGCTAATTTATGGACCTCACAAAAGTGCCTTTGACATGGTGAATTGTGCCCTGTTGTTCAGGTAATTGGGTTGTCAGGAAATGTTATTGGTTACTATACAGTTATCTCTTATACAATATTGGCCTGTTGCATGGAAATGGACAAAATCTTTTAGACTTCCAGTTCCCAGGATGTCGTGAAGACTGAGTAAGAAGGAAATAAGCATTCTTCTTGATAGTAGTGACTGTAGTAAGAACATTTTGACTGCTATGTGTTGATTTCCCATCCCTGACTTCTGTAAAAAAGATAATTACTTTTCTTGTGCTTGCAAGTTCAGGGGGCTTGGTGGTTGCCAGCATTTGCAGATTCAGCTTAAAATGGGGGAAAAACATGCTGCTTAGGACAGTATTCTTGCCAGCACTGAGATTCATAAGGTTATAATTGGCTTTTTGATGTCTGAGAAGGATAGAACAAAGCTCACCTTTTTTTCTGGATATGCTGCAAAAATGACAAAGATAAACTTGGTTCTGTCACACTGCTAGAGAACACACAAAACACACAGAACCAACAAATGGGCCTGAGGAAGGTGGTTTTTACACGTGGTTGTTTTTACAGCCAGCTTCCACACTTGCAGGCCATGACATCTGCAAAAGTGAGAAAAATGCAAAAGATCCTTGTGAGGCTGAAAAATAAAAGCAGCTCAGGATCTCACTTTGAGTGTTTGCGTGAAGAGCTCTTACCTGAAAAAGTTTGGACTCTTGTTTTCCTCTAATACTGTGAAATGGGAATTTTCTAATTGAAATTACAGGAGGCAAAGAAATTTTTTAGCTTAAGACAGAAATAGTAAACAAATAATCCTTTCTGATGATGCCTTCCTCTGGCTGTTTCTGTGTGTGCTCTGTTTGAATACATGTATGTTTGCCATATAGCGGTACAGCATTTTTAACTCATTGTTCATTTCCCCAGGTGAGAGGCACGTGCTTTCTTTTTAGTTACTGGATCTAGATCAGTGGGAGGGTTGATACTAATAGTAGCTGCAGGAAAGTTTAGGTGATTAGATAGCTTCTGTGTTTAGCTTTGAACACAAAGCAGTTCTTCTGTAGGAGTATGTCTCACTGTTTATGTCCACTGCTTTGAAGTTCTTTCAGTATTTGTCTCTCTACTGCCCCAAGGGAATGGCACTGACACAGGGATTCAGTAAGAGGTGGTCCTGGTGACAAAACCTGTATTTGTTCAAAGCCCTGAAGAGTAGGAGAGCACAGACTGGGAGTGTTTGATGGGGAATCATTGCAGGGAGATGCAATGTGGGATGCCATATGCCCAGCAGAGCACTTTTGCATAAGTCTATGTCACAGCTTTCTCCCTCAACACTGAGAGTCAAATCCCTAGAGCCTGTATGTGACCATAGCCAGAGGCAGGTCTGGCTGGCTTGGGTGTGCTCCTCTGGCCAGCCACAGAGGAGTGCGTGTGTGCTCTCTGCACCTGCAGTGATGGCCAAGCACAGCACAGAGCTTGAATGGGCCCCGAGACTGCAGATGGACCTGCCAACAGGCTGCTGGGCTTTGGTTCTCTCTAGGTCCTGCAAGAGCAGCGCTGAGTGCCGTGGGGTGGTTTTGTTTATATCCTGCTAGCTCTGGAAGTCTCATCTCAGGAAATGCCAAACCGTTTTTATTCCCATGGGAACAGGGGAATTGTCTCTCAGCAACCCACATGACTGCTCCACGAGTTCTGTGTCAAACAGACCTGGTCAGGTCCTGGTGTGGTTGGAATGAGGGTGCTGCACTGGTGAGAGCAGGATGACCTTTGGAATCTCTCTGGCCAATGACCGCATCAGTATCTCTATATGCAGGGATAGTTTCCTTCCTTGGAAGAACTCAGTGCTTACACCAGGAGTTTGTCCAGCCCAGCAGCTTTGTAGACCCCAGGGGGAAGGAATGGTTAAGGAACAGCTTTTTTCCACCCAATTCAGTCCAGACGCAGTACTGATAGCTGAAGGAGGGCTGTGGGCAGCCCCCCTCTGCCATTGCTTCTGTAGGAGCTCTGTGATTCTTAGAACTCCCCTGAGTTTTTGGTTATCAAGCACTTCTTGTTGCAGCTGCATCAACTGCAGAATGGCTCATTTACTGAGTATAACAACAGGCTCCTGTTTGGGCAGGATTCCACTGGCAGTCCATGCCTGACCTGGAGACCTTTGATATTTTGGCTGGCAGACTAGTTGTCTGTGCCCTGCTTGGTATTTCCCTGTAAAATACGCTCTAGGTTGCCCTTTCTTTAGGAGACATTACCCTTCCTCCCACTCGCTCCTGAGTGCAAGCATCACTGCAAATGCTCTTAGCTGGAAGGTCCACTCCTTTCTGCACTGAACATGCAAACTCACTACGCGCTGCTTCCTTGCCAGACAGCACAGCGGAGGTGTCTTTGAGGTCCTGCAGCTGGACACATCTGCATTTCCAGCTTTGTTTCCTGGAGGGGACATTTTGTGCATACTGCCAGCATCAACACGAGCAGGAGATGCCCAAGATCCTCGGCTGCTTTGGGCTGGTATTTCCAGGGGATCCTCATACTGCTGCTTTTTGTGGATATCTTTGCCTGCCGTTACCCAGAGATGACAAGACATATGAGAGAAGTTTGTGAATTGTTCTGATGAGAAGAGCATTCTTGGCTATACCAGGCCTACCTTTTGATCTTGTTGATATTTTAATCTCCTTCTTGCCTTTGAAATTACATGGAGTTTATTTTTCCTCCTCTTTTTTTTTCAGAAAAAAAAAGGTTTAGAGAGACATGGAGCTTGAAAGAATCATTCGAGACACACTGACACGCTTCATCCACTCCCATATCCCTGCAGCAGACCTCAGGTATGTTGAGATAGGAAGATCCAGTGTCATTGTTGTAGCTTGAACTCCGCATTAACTGTCTCTCTACACATTATACTGAACTCTGTAGCTTTCCTGTACTTTGTGTTGCTTTTCCTTAAGTCGGATCCAGTATGCAGGTAATTTGCACAGGCTTTGATGCAAATGCTTGAACAGCTATTATTCAGCATTGCAATCTAGCAATGTCATTGTTTTGACGACCAAGATGATTAATTTCCTGTCCAGTAATACACATTAGAACACGGGATTCCCTTCATTCCACAGTGCTCCCAAAAGGCTTTCTGAGCAGCATAATGCTATGTCAGGGCTCTTCCTATTTTGAACTCTGCCTGCATGCAGAGATACAGCCACCTTGAGGCTGGAACACAGTGGCTGGTTTTGCAGCCGGTGGCAGCAGTGACACAAACGTGGGGAGCAGCAAGGAGAGAACACTGCATCCCATAGAAATTGCAGCTTGACAGAGTATGATGACCTCACCTAAAATATTGGTCAGCACAGAGAAGGCAGGGTTTGAGCACTTGGAATATTTTGGTTAGCTCATCTGAAGCACCTACAGGAGCACAGCCTCTGGGCAGGCGCTGGGGCTTTCATTCCATGCTGCCCAGGAAGCAGGACAGCATGCACTATTTTATCCATAAATGCTTCCTGCTCAACCTCTGGTCACCTGCTACCTGGCTTTACTGGTGGGATCTGCCCATAAGATATAGTCTACATAGGCCCTTCTGCTGCTCTGTTAGAAAGACACAAGATTAGGGGGAGTGGAGATGGGAAGAAAGAGGCATCTTGACCCCACTGCCATGTCCTGTGTTCTCTGTCTCCAGTGGGATGGATGATGTTTTCTTCTCTTATATCACGGGTGTCCTGGAAGAGCTGGGCTCACCGGAGTCCTCTGAGGAGACTTTTGACATGGACACCTTTGTGGAAATGATGGAGGCATATATCCCTGGTTTTGCAGAAATCCACAGGTATGTGAATGTTACTGCTTTGTATGTACAGGCCATGCAGTGGGGGCCTGGACTAAGTCCCTCGGTACCATAAATTATTTTGTTATACCCAGTTGAAGATGTATTAAAACCAAACGTGTGCCATCATGATTAGGTCAGTCTTTGCCTGAATACACAAATCCCAGTAGAGTTTGCAAGTAGATCCTTGGCCATCTGAAATACCAGTTTATTTTATTGGCCTTCCCATCAAGCCTTGTCTTTATAGAAAGAGGTTGCCAAGTAGGATAGGCTGCAGCTTTTATTCTTCGCACTAAGTATACAGCTTCTGTCTCTTTCAGTGGGGATGTTTGTGAAATGATGTTCTCCCTCTCAGAAAGGCTTGGTGAAGCTCGCAACAGAGGTGAGTTACACAGACAATTTCACCACAAGAAAGTATATTCTGCACATGTTTTCAGTCTTAGTGTTTGGAGTTGAGCAATGTCACAGGATAAAACACAATCTTATTTGCCACAGGAGCTCATGAGGTAGCTTGAATTGATTGGCTTTTTTTTAAATGTTCAGTTGGGTTTTTGATATCAACACATGGGAGGTTTGAGTCATGTGGAATACTGTCCAAGACATACTGGGGTGAAAACCACTTGATCAGATCTCCAAACACCTCTGTTGAGATCAAATCCAGAGAAATAAGGAAGAAATAGATACAGGGCTGCTTGTTGAAATTCTACTGTAGGTTAACTCTGAAAGTGAGGGTTTCTCCCTACCTCTGATAGCCATCTGCCTAAGCAACACTACCACTGAGCAGCCCACGTCAGGTGTCATCACCAAATAGAGAATCCAGCTGATTACGTGTATCACTTCTAGACTTTGAGCATCCTCAAAGCTCACTTCCCATTCACCCATGAACGCTGGCACAGATGCAAAATCAGCAATGATGTGCTCTGGCCTCCACTATGCAAGACTGCAGAAGACTACACTATCCCAATGGCCCTTTCTAACCTCAGCATTCACAGATCAGATGGATTGCTCTATTAATGAGCCCCAAAGGTACTTCCTACTAAGTCAGACGAGTGAAGTGCCTGGATATTAAACCTTTCAGGACACACCATTCCAAGTTTTGCTTATCTAGCAACATCACTGCTGTCTTGCCAGAAAGCTACACAATGTAGAATAGATAGTCCTCTTTTATCTTACTTGCTGCTTTCTTGAACTTGACAAAATCTACTGCTCTGCTCTGGCCCCCTGCATCCTACCCTTTAAGGATCCTGATGTAGCCAGAGTGTGGAAGGACAGCACCATCCTAGTTTTAGAGAGGACAGAACAGAGGCAAAACTATTCTTACAGTGACACAGAAAGAGCCTGTACAGAGATGCATCAGAGTAACCTCATCACAGGATGTGCTCGCTTACTTACAGCCTGGGGACTACCAGAGTGTATTCCCAAATTTAAAATCAAAACCACACCTTAGGTTGAAGTTCGAGCAAACACCAGGGAATTCTTAGAAACGTAACAAAAATATTCTAAGTATCCACTGCCAAAGTGCTAGAGGGACAAGAACCAACAGGTAGAATTGAATCCACAAGCAGCCCATGCCTGGTAAGGCCTGGAAATGCAGCACTTGAGCACTCCAGTGTGCACTAGCACTGCCTTCCTGCACGTCAGTGTGAGCAGAGCTGTGGCTGTGTCTGATGAGGGCAGGAGGAACAGTAGCTCTTCCCAGTCTTGTCACCTAAGAAGGGATTTGCTTTGGCACATGATGCACTAGCAATCTAATGTCAACAGAAAGCAGAGCTGTAGCCTTAGCGGGACTGTTCCTCAGGAGATATCACTATGTCTTTAAGAAAAACCTGGCCAAAAGGCTGTGGAAAGTGGGAGTGAAGCACCCTCTGAAGACCTGACCAAGGGCCGGGAGCCTGGAGCTGGAGCCTGCAATGGGGAAAGGCTGTGCACTCCAACAGATGGAGCTGGGGCACAGGTATGAGCATCCCACAGAGCACAGCACTGGGAACAGCCACCCAACACTAGGCTTACCAGCACCACCTGAGAGCATTTTCTGGCTCTGGAAGGAACCATAGCACGGGCTGTGACAGGCTGTGACACAGCATCACTGGTGTCTATGATCTCTTCCATTGTATGGCCTGAGCAAGACTGCGTCGGTAAGTGGAAAAAGAAAATTATGTGCTGACAGAAGAGTATGAGCCGTCGCTCTGGCTCATCCTTTCCAGCCACTGGAAAGGATGAGCCAGAGCGATGGTTGAGAGAGCCTGTCCCAGTGCCCTCTGCAGCACTGTGGGGATGCCTCTGCAGCACTAGCCAGACTCCACCCTGCTTCACCTTGTTGCCCTAGCCTCGCTCCACAGTTTGAGCTGGATCACCATTTCTCTCCCCAGCTAGCACGCAGTATCTGCACAGGAAGCAGTCACAAAGACACCGGTCCCACCCTCAGTGGCCTGTGCTGTGCTGAGCTATGTGGCACTGAGTCATTGGCCCAGCAGTCCTGATCCGGCAGCACCATTCAGCATGACCCATGCTACAGGCATTGCAGCACCTGGCAGATCCTGCACACCTCCTTCCCCCACACTGCTTGCTGTTTCTTCAGCACTGATCTCTTCCTGCCTTGCAGCGCAATCATTCTGTGTCCACAGCCTTCTAGCAAATGCTGCTGCTGCACTTCCTTCTGATGTAGCCACAGGTCCCTGTTTAGCAGTCCCTTCCCTTCTGATCAAAGCACATAAAACTTCACAAGGTGAGCAGGAGTTCAAGCATTAGCACTGCCGTGTCCAGAAGGCTTGCTCCTAAGGACACACATAGCATGGCCACACAGATGAGCCAGTCCACAGCAGCCGTACTTTAAAGAAAGTTGAAATACAGGGGGAGGAGATTGAGGAAGAGTGACGCTTTGTTCTTGTAGGGGACAGAGCCTTCAGCTAAGGGCAAGGTGAATTTCCTGACAACACAAAACCAGAGAGGCCCTTTTCAATAGCACTCCCCTCACTTTATCCCCAACTTACCTCTGTCTTGCTCCAACTAGGAGGGCGATGACTTGAAGGATGGGGTGGAGCTGCTACTGGAGATGTTCCCGGCCTGTACCGTGAGCCAGGCAGAGAAGGCACTCGCCATGTCCTTGGGGAACTTGGAGGAGGCAGTGCAGTTAATTGTGGAGGAGAAGGTGGAAATTGGCCCAGCAGGTGCAAGTGTGAAGGTACAGTACTCTGAGCTGGGTGGCAGCAGGCCAAGGAGGAGGGCAGAGCTCAGGGACACACACAGGTGTCCCAGCTGTCTGCTGCAAGCAGCTTTGACCACAGGAACTTTCTGCATAATGAGCCAGGAAGATCACTCAGAGCAACAGCCCCTCTCCCTCCTTTGGCTCTCCGAGTACAGGCTGTGCCCACAGCCAAGCCAGCACCCCAGCAGAGCTGTGGCTGGCACCCCCTCTTCCCACAGGGGCTGGAGTGCTCCACCAGCAGCTGAGCATAGCTGTGTGCCCCATGTGTTGTGCTACTCACACACCCATCTTGTCTCCTCCCAGGAACTGGCACGGCCCCGCAGAGCACCCAACCACGAGGAACTAAAACAGGTTATCTTACAGAAGTAAGTACCCAGCAGGATAGAACACTTATTCTGCTCCCAATAAAGAAAGAGGTGGCAGTTTGGGGAAGATCAGAATGACAGTGTGGTCTATAAAGAACCTGGGGTGTCCGATGCTTAGTAAGGATGCCATGAAACTGATTTTGGTACAGCTGAACACATCTAAGCACAAAAACAATAGTCAGGTGGGAAAAAAAAAAAAACAGGTTTGGGTTTCTCTTAGAGCTCTGGCACAGAAACGAGTTACCTGCAACAGCTGGACACAGCACTGGCTGTGTGCGAGGTTTCAGCCTCCCACAGGTACAGTGTAAATCACAGTACTGTCAGCTGAGGTCCTGGTTAAAGGTTCAAGGCACAAACATCATGCTGCGACTCAGGTAACACATGGTGACTTGTAGAACTACAGCAACTCATTTGTACCTCCACCCTTGGAGACAGTCCAAACAAGGCTAAAGATATCTTTAAGAGACTGCCTGTACAGCAACACTGGGAAAATTAAATCTTAGTTGCTGAACGTGTGAATTCAATGCATTTAAAAAAACCTCTCTGAAGCCCCCCTGGGAACTTCTTAGGAATGAAAGTGGCTTTAGAATGGTTTACCTTTATTCATTTGCAAAAGCATTTAATTCTCAATAGGAGAACCCACTGTGGTTTCAGTGATCTCCTTTAAGATCTTAGCTTTCATGAGTATCCTCCTGCGGACATGCAGATTCCATGTGTCTATCCAGCCACATCTTTTCCACCACTTTACATCTTCCCCAGTGACAAACAGTTGCTGTGCTAGGAAGGATAAAGCAAGGCAGAATGACATCCAGGCAGAATTAGCAATCCCTGTCCTTGCCTGTCTCCTGTGCAGGTGTGTTTCAGAGTGGGAACAAAAAAGCACCAGCTGCCAGTTATGTTTCTGGGAACTTCACTTTAATGACATTTTGGCAACATCCTGTACTTTAAACATCACTCAAGCACAGGTACAGAGAGCAGATCACCATAGCTGAAGATACACAGGAGCAACTATACTAACTACTGAGGGACAAGTCATGGTCAGCTGTGCTGTCTACCTGCTAAACCAGCACCAAAGTCTCAAGAGTAGTAACTCAGCAGTACAGCAAGCAAATGCTTGGGCCCTGATGTTTCAGTCACGTTGGGAATGAGGTGATGCTTTTATGAAGTTGCTTCCAGCACAGACCTGTTTCATAGTCAAGTAGTAGGTGGAGTGAGAAAGGAACACCATCTCTTCAGGGCAGAAGCAGCCAGCTTGGTCCTATAACCTTACCTCTCGTTTGGCTGCCATCACTTGGACTGAGAAGGAACAAAGCTGCCCCAGTAGCAGAGCACACCAGACCTCGGCACCTCTCTCAGTTCTGCAGGGGCTATTGGCATTCTCAACAGCCTGAGTTTTCAATACTCTTCATATACTGCCAAGGATGCTACTCCAGGAGAATCCTGCTGGATTCCCACCAGAAGGATGACACGCTTCTTGCCCATTTCATCCAGACGAGAACGTTAAGTTCTAACTGCAGTCTAGGCAAGCAGGACACATTGCACAGCCACAAACCAGCCAGGGGAGAAAGGACATAGGCTGTGAATAGCCCCAGGCCATGCATGTTACGGTGTTCACTAAATGCTTCTTGTTTCAGATACATGATGGTGGATAGTGCAGACGATCAGAAAACACATCGGCCAGCTCCACCCAAAGAGGTAAGAGCAGTCCCAGCTCACCAGCGTTTGAATGTCCTTTGGCTACAAGGTTTAAAAATCAGACTGCAACTCCAAAAAGCAACAGGGCAGGCCAAAGGCCAGACCATTCACAGAGCCTGCTAATCAGCAAAGGAAGATTAGCTGCAGGGTCTGTCAGTTCCTATCATGCCTGACTAGCATGGCTCCTGCTTCCCCCCCCATCAGACCACATCCTTCCCAGTTTTGGCCAAGATTCCCAACACAAAGGATGGGTAAAGCAGCCCACCCCTCCAGAGCACAGCTCTGCTTCTGCTTGTCCCCTCCCTTTCCCTAGCAGTGGTGGCTGTCCATCACTTGGTGTTAATGTCTTTCTTCTCCAGGCTCCCAAGAAGTTGATCCGTTACATCGATAACCAGGTGGTGAGTACAAAGGGAGAGAGGTACAAAGACATCAAGAAGCCTGAGAGCGAGGAGATGAAAAGAACCTACATCAGCCTCAAACCAGCCAGGAAGTACAAGTTCCACTGACAGCCAGGTCCTCCTGCTCTTCAGCCTCCCCCTCACCAGCCAGGCATGGCAGGATGGACACATGGCACTAGGGATGAGTGGACTCCACCACCTGCCACTAACTGGAACTAGCCTGGGAGCCAGGACACTGCTTTCAGCTTCCTCAACTAACCTGGTTGACAAGGAGGAGACTTCTCCCCTTGTGTAGCCGTCCCTCTGCCCCCAAGGGCACACCACAGTGGCTCACCAGGGCCTCAGCCTTCTCTGCTATTCCTTGCATGGGATATTTTTAGATCTAAGGTGTGGCTTGTGCTTTTGCAGCAAGCTTTTTACAAGTCTGTGTGCACTGTTGCTTTAAATTGAGTGCCAGTGTTAATAAAGATGATGTGAGCTGATGTGTAGTTCAGCCAGAGCATGCACATGCTTTACAGACACCACCTCCAATCCTTCCTGGGGCCAAAGATAGGAGCAGCGTCATCCTCTCTTCCCCTAATCACTCTTCATCACATTCACTGCAAGATATGGCTGCTCTTTGGTTAACCACCTAGTGAATACAAGGCTGAGGCTGAACTCCAGACCAGAGCTAGGCTCTCCCTGCCAACACAACCTGCAGCACTCCGTAAACCAGCTGACGGCACGGCCAGGGCTCCTGCCATTTCTCACCACTGTTGAATGCCAAAGTTCCGGCCACACATCAAGCAGGATATAGTAGCAGGCCTGGGCACTACTGAAATGTTAAGTCGGAAGCTGGAAGAAACAAATGTCAATGACAAACTGCTTTTGGTGACAGCACAGCTATGTTTGGTGTTTTTCAGTCAGTGAAACTGCAATTAGGAGCGTGTTCCCCCTGAAAACAACTCCCACCTTGCACCAGCCTAAACCAGCACCCTAGGCCTGGACAGACACGCTGCCTGCACAGTGGCCATGCCATTTTTTTTGGCCAGTGGCTGCAGGCTGGAGCTGGGCTCACTGTGCCCTCCTCCTGGAGCACAGAGGGGCCTGCCCTCTCCCAAGAGGAAGGCTGGTGGCTTTTCTCCTTTCTGCTCCAGCTGGCCTGGTTTGTTCCACAGCTCTGCTGGCCTGCCCTGCGCACCCACCCCAGGAGACAGTCCCCATCAAACACTCTCCTGCTCTCTGGACAGCTGCCACTTAAAGACTTAAAATACAACAAATAATAAATCCTATCTATTAGCTGGCCTGGCCAAGGCCTGTTCAGCACCATGGTGATCCTGCAAGTCACTCGCTCTCTCCACGCCACTGTAGAGGGAGTTACTTTCCCCAGAGGCCCCGATGAAGCCCACTCAAACACCCAGTGGCTTCTAAACAGCCTCAAAGGAAAGAGTTTCGGGCCAGCCTCACCAACAGGACCGACCTCTCCCTCCACGCATCTCCACAGCAGCCGGTTCCGGCATCCTCCTGGGATCCCAGCGTCGCATCAGTCCCCCCCTCCCCAGCAGCAGCAGTTCTAGATCTGGAGGTTGATGAAAGGGGCGAAGCCAACCACATCCTGCAGGAGAACGAGAGCCCTCTGCAGCGGAGGCTCCACATCCAGCTCCACTCCACGGCTTCGGAAGATGCTCAGGCTGGACTCAGCCACGTTGTGGCAATGCTTCACCTTCAGTGAGCGCAGCTTGGGACAGTACTCAGCCAGGACCCTGCCAAGAAAGAGCACATGCAGGTTGCAGGCCAGGACTCCTAAGTGCACTAGTCGCCCTCTTCTCCACTCCCAGCAACCCAGTGCTCACAAGTGTGCCACAATGCACCATCCCTGGTGGCCTGAAAGAAACTCAAGGACCATGGTCGGATCCCAGACCTACCCTCCATGACACGCTGGGAAATTAGCTGTTAGTAGCACACAGTGCCTCTCCTAAAGGGCCTGCTAGTGGCTTCTCCCCCAGACTGAGCTCTTACTGCTTTCAGCATGAAGAAATATGATTTTTCTCTCTCGTTCTCTTCCTGTCCCCACCCCAGACACCTGCCATCCCCACCTTGGCTTCCCACATTGCTCAGTACCTGATGGAGTCATTCTTGACCCGCAGACACCCTGTGAGGTCCAGGTGCTCCAGCTCAGGGCAGCACTTAGCAATCTCCTCAACTGCCACATCGCCCACGTTGGCATTGACAGCCAGTGACAGCGACTTGAGCCTGCTGCACTTCTGCACCAGGTAGCAGATGGCCTCGTCCTTCAGCTGGCGACAGGCCGTCAGGTCCACAGCCTCCAGCGCCTTGCAGTGGTCAGCCAGGCTGCGCAGGGACAGGCTGTCCACCCACTCACAGTGAGCCAGGGAGAGCCAGCGCAGGTTGGGGCAGCTCAGCGAGATGGCCACCAGCGCGTGGCGGCTGAGCTGGGCACAGCCCTTCAGCTGGATCTGGTGCAGGTGGTGGTTCTGCCCAATGACCGGGAGCAGCTCCCTGTCCGTCAGCCAGTCAGAGCAGTTCTGGAGCACCAGCTGCTGCAGTACTTCGTTGTCCTTCAGCAGGTTAACAAAAGCAGCTCGAGGGATGGCAGGTCCAATCTGCGCGGGAAACCCAGGAAGAATGAGGCATCCCCCAGGGTTTCAGATCAGCCTAATCCTCACCAAATACTCTCTCCCCTCCCCTCATGCCAAGGCTACTGCCACAAGCTAGAAGATGCTCCAACTCTTCCACCCCCAACACCATGCCTGCAATTATATACTCATGATGGGCTCCACACCTCTGCTCTTCAAAAACTCTTTGCTAGACCACTCTGTGTCCTCACAGAACAGCAGCTACTCCTGTCTTTCCAGGTCCCGGGCAGTGTCTCCCAGGGCCAGCACAAGCTTTACCTGAAGACCAGGTGCAGAGTTATCTCCTGTCAGACCCACGCTATTGCACAACTTCCGTGAGGACCAGACAGGCCATGCCACTCTGCAGTTTGCTTGTGTTTCTGCCAGCCAGTGCCCCATAATGGCCTGGGTGGAGCTTCCAGGCTGACTCCTCCCAAGGCCTGTTGCTAAAGACTCAGGCATTGCTGGGCCCTGAATCACCACCTCTCCTCCCTGAGCCCATCTGTCCAGTCTGGCACCCAAGCATTTAACTCGAGGTCCTGAGCATAAACCACCCTCCTTGATGGGGGCTTCTCCCCACATAGCCAGATGTTCCCCTGTTAGCCCCAGAGCAGTAGGACATCTGTGTCTCCCCCAGCCCTAGAGCCATCCAATACCTGGCTTGAGTCAAAGCAGCGCATGTTGGCCAGGTACAGCTGGATGAGAGACTGGAATGACTTGCTGACCCTCTGCAGGCTCAGGAGCTGCTGCAGTGGCAGATGACAGAGGACATGTGGAACCAAGATGTCTTCCCAGGGCAGGTCCAGGAGGCATCCCCTGGAGGGGGTCAAACTCATCATCAGACGCCAAGGAGCCAGGCTGCGGTGAGAGCCAGGCTATATCACCTCACACCTACTGCCAGACGCCTCTAGGAGGAATAGCCAGAAAGCAAGACTCAGCGACATCTCCCACAGTCAGCCCACAGGGTAAAACTCCATGACTAGCCATCAGCAGGGCATACGCATGCCGCCTGCGTCACCTCCTCCCTAGCCTGGGACATTCACTGCTTCGGCATCCAAGTCCACCTGCCTGCAACGCCCTCCAGGAGAGCTCGGGCGAGGCTTTCCACCAGCTGCTTCAAGAGTCCCTGTCCCTCGGCGAAGCAGCAAGTGACTGCTGCAGCCTTACCGCGCCACCCGCACGATAGCTGTGCCTAGCCATCAGGCCTAAGCATTGCCCCACCTGGCAGCTAGTCCCCTGCACCCGGGGCCGAGTCACTTGGGCACTCTGCGAGGGGGAGAGGGCAGGCACCTGCTCCTTCCCGCGGGGAGCAATGAGGCTTCGGGCTCTCCGAAGAGCCTCCCTCCGAGGAGCGGGGAGACAGCACCCCTTCGGAGATGAGGCCGCAGCCTCGGGCGGCGACGGGAAGGGCAG